AGGATAATACCAATTAAAATCAAATAAGTTGCAAAAGTATCTAAACTCTCTTCTACAATCTCTCAAACGAGAACTGGTCACGTTCTCTTTCATTTTTTTTTATTTGTTTAATCCTTAGATACTCAGCTACATACTAGCGAGGGAAAACGGCCAATTCGTACTCGTACTAATGTACACGGTCCCATTACGGACATTCACTCTCGACATGTGAAAATATATACTTGTACTTCATTTTAATTCAAATTTTATACTTGAACAATTGTATTTGTGTCGTCACATACTTTGACTAACAATCTGTTAGCCAACCATTAGTGATATATTTTACCACTACTTCTTCATTTTACTTTGTTGATTATTTTCATTAGATTAGGTACAAACTTAAATTTACATTCTACTGATCTCATCAACTAAACCCAAATTCAGATTCTTCTTTATTTATTTTCACTACCTGTTTAGCAAGCTTTCTGAAAATGTGATATCATCCACTTGATTTCAAACTCTCCCATTTCTGAACAATGGTATCGCAGATCAATGGATCACACCTGACGTAGACAAATAGCGCACTCAGTTTCGCTGAAAAGAAAAGGAAACTCTTTTAGGGAAATCAGATCCGGACTAGGAATATTCTTAGGTTGAAAATCTAATCTAATCCGGACTAAAGATATTTGTTTCTTAATTTTGTGATATACTTAGTATGGTTCATCAGTGTGTAAGAAGAAGACTTAGAAAAGTCGTTTCGAGGAAGAATATTTATTGTATTTGTTTTCTTGTATCGAGTCTATTGACTATTGATTGGAATCTGAATTTTCTTCGATGATATGAATGGATTGCGTTAAAAGTTGAATTATTTGACAATGTAACCAGTATAATTTCGCATATGTGGTAGGCCACACAGTTTGGGACTAATGACCTTCAAGGTAAGTAAAAATGGTCGAGATCGTCTCGAGTGTTTTGATAAATCTATAAATTAGTAATGAAACAATATCTCTTATAAATATCATAAAATTGGATTATTGCCAAACAAGAGAAACTTGAGTTGGACAAAAAGGTAATTAAACATGCTCAAAAAAAAAAGAGGCAATAATGAGAATAAAGCCCTAATTTTTGTTTCTTCTTCTTCCCCAACTCTCCTTTACTCGACTCGCCGCCTCTGAAAAACTCACAGAGCCACCGTACGACGGTAAAAGCTGCTTTTACACTTTCAGGGTTTGGTTATGGAGCATAAACTAGCGACTGCTGAGAGAAAAGTACGCCTCTTTCGTTATTCTATTGCTCTACAGACAAAATCTCCTTGTCTTCGATTTTTCTGAATTTGGTAAATTAAAATTTTTATCATTGGGGTTTTAGGTGCTAGTAGACCTTGTGAAGATAGTGCAGAAACGAGGTTTAGAAGGCGAAAACGGAGGATGGAAGGAATTTCTAAATTTCTACGACAAGAAAATCGGTTCGAGTTTGAGTGATCCTTCGAGACGTTCCAATGATGTTTTGGTCGCTTTTCTTACTACATTCAAAAAGAAAGAAGATTTGCAGGTACAAAAGACTAATATGGACATACA